TAGAAAGAATCACGCTTATTCTATTAGAAAGCAAAAACGTTTCCCTGTTAGCTAATATATAGTACACTTTCATTGCTGCGAAGGCGCAAATGAAACAGTGAACCTTACCCCTCCGCACACTCCGTTTCACAGGCTGTGACGGACATCTTTAAATGCTGTGCCTTTGATCTTCCCATGGATTATGATCAACACAGCTATGTTTTCATGTACAATGAAAGTAGTTTCGTACTGTTTAGCATTTAACTCCGGTAGGTATTACATCAAAAGCTGTTTTTCTAGAAGTGCTGAGTTTGAAACAAATCCAGATACATGAAATATACCGATAGTGAATCAAATATTCTTTAACCCTTCGTGGTTGTCCTGATTTTTGTACTTCGTAGTTGTCCTGGGGTCCGCCTGGACCCACCTATAGAAAATTACAAAAAAAACGATTTTTTCCTTTCTTCAAGCGTTTCATTTGACTTATATGAAGAGGTGGAGATCTTTCTTTATAAAAACTAATGAGTCAGCTCTCGTGAAAACAATGTAAAGATGTATGATATCGCAAAAAATTACTTTCTCTAATCATTTTTGTAGCAACGTTGATAATAGCTTCGAAAAGCATAGAATATATCAATCTAGTCTAGATGATAGGATTCTACGCGTACGTTCTTATATATATAATCAATTGTACAATTGAGAAAGCAAGAAACTTTTCTTTTTGAACTATAGCTACTTTTATCTTTCTCTTTATTATTAGAAAAAGCAATAAAAAATCAGTTTTTTTTTATCAAACTGATGATGTTGTTTGTATATAAATATTATGAATCATCAATATAAATAATGAACATATAAGCCAACCAAAGTAAATCATTTTAAAAAAATTGTGAATCAACAGATGGCAGCTTTATCAAGACGAAAAACATGCTGGTAACAGCATAGTTGTCGTAGGGTCCATCCGGACCCACAGCTGCATTTTTCATCTGCTAGGCTTCTCGTTGATTTCTAATAAGGATGTTGTAGACCAACATAGGACTAGAGATTAGATAAGGGGACTGGTCCGAAACAGAAGCTCTTGATGTAGTATTACATAAAAAACTGTGAAATGGGTCCGCGCGGACCCCACGACAACCACGAAGAGTTAACCATGCTTACACGGCTATCCATTCTACAGAAGTTGCTCAACTTTTTCACAACTATTTCATTACTATACACTTATGAATCTATTTACCTGTTCCCATCGATCACCAAGCCATTGCA